ACAAAAAGGGTGCGAGTAAAGACTACTCATTTTCGGGTGATCTGTCCCTTTAACAATTCTTGGCACTTCACAGGTGGTTATCAGAGACAGATAGTTGCTATTTTCTTTCTTTCGGTATCACTTGAGGCGGAAGTGAAAGATAATTACATTTCATATTACGTAGCCCTTTCATGTAGAAAGAATTTACATGACATTAAACTCTGTTCCGAGAGAATAACACTATAGAGTCTATGGACAAGTGCACGTCTGCTCACATGTACGTTTGTCAAGCTCAAGTTACTCTAGTCTAGAGCTTTCCACAAAACACCGGACTGAAAGCCGTAATGATCCGCTAGATTTAGCCCGGGATGCGGTCGTAAGCAAGGCCTTAGAGTAGCTGATCCCGCAGAATACAACAATTTAAGCTGTACACCGTTTAAATGTTTTTGTTTTTTTTAAGAAGGAAAATAAAAGAAACTAAACCAAAACGGTTCTCAGGCACGTCAATAGGCAGAGGCCAACAAGCGCGTGTGTACATAAGCTAACAATGTACATCCTCGTAGCTAACAGACAGCAAACGTTATATCTTTACATACTACTGAACTATACAGCTAACTTCCTCACACAAGTGTTAGTTTTAGTCGTGTACACAACCTAGCCATGTAATGTTCAGGTTATGGAAGTATGATTTGTATTCCTGCCAGACGACGATGAGCGAGCTAGCAGCAGTTAGCCAGCTCCAGTTGCCAATGACACAGCAAATGCTCCTGTGTGACATGTGAAGCCCAAACCGCTGAAACAGTAGTATTTAAGTGCTTATAATGTAAAGCTCTAGGGTCCGATACATTATCTAACGGTTTAAATGACACATTATCTGCGGTTTTTGATTTGATGGCTGAAATATCTAGATCACGGGATTTGTCATCATCATCATCATCATCACCTGCTGCTGCTAACGTTATATGTACAAAAACGGTTAGCTCGTTTTGAAGCTTATTCGCGGTTTTACTGCTATAGAGAATTGATATTATTTTTATTCAATGGAGCGACATGCGGGCCGTTTAACGGGGTTGTACGTGTTTTTGTTCCGAGCAGTCTCCGGTGATGCCGGTGGGCCGAAAGCCTCGATCATGGGAGATGACTCAGTCTGGTTAGCTTACATGCTAAACACAGCTGATCATGGTCTTCTTAAAACTCCCGCAGAAGTTTAAAATGAGTAAAGAGAACGTAAATACCTAAGGATTAAAGAGATTAAATCAATTAACATGTAAACCCAGATGAGAAATCTGTAGCGTGTAAACTCGCTCTTTTCATTGATCACCATTCATGATGCGTTCGTCTTTTAGCTTAACGGCTAGCTAACTGGCACTCAAAAGAAAACAAAACAACTATCAACAGACTAAATAACTCATCACTAAAATTGTACTTACTCTCCACCCGAAGCCATATTGCTTCTCCCGGAAAAAGATACAAATAGTTGATGGAAATGAGTAGCTCTCTTAAGTGACCGATTCCAACCTTCACACTAGCTTTTTACCTCTGCACTGGATTAGCCTGCTAACATCAACTCTGCGGAGAAAAAGTTTCCTCGCCCATTTTCAACGTTTAGCCAATCAGAGCACACGTCGCGATTTCTTGCGTTGACCGATTGGCCAATCTTGGACCAACTGTGGAAGAGCTTAAACATCATTGGTGTCTTTCACGGTTCATTGCGATTGGTTTATTTTCTGCTGCGTTGTGAATTGTCTCTTTTGGATTGGCTCGGGAGAGTCTGATTAAGCGGTTACTCTGCTGAGCCGAAGTGTCAAAATGTCAACAACTTTATTGCCAAATAGGCAATGTTGCCCAACAGGTTAGGTAATCTCAAAAAGACACAAAACGCCAAATATATGTCTCAGATAATATATGTAAAGAATGTTTTTAATAATAATACTTTAAATGAGCTGGAATGCAGAGCAATGCGGTGAATGTATAATATTTCTGTCATAATAAACAGGTGCGTCTGAAAAAATCGAAAAGTATGTGGAAAAGTATATTTTTCATCAAGTTAAGCAAGTGAATATATTAATATATTCTATGCTCATAACACGTAAACTAAAATGTTACAAGCATTTTTTAATGTAGATAATTATGGCCTATATGCTAAAATAATATATAATTATGGCCTATAGCTAAAAAACCTCAAAATATTAGAATATCTCATTTCGAGTTTGATTAAATTGTGTCTGTTGTATAGCCTGAGACACAGGCTATACAACAGACAGGAGATTTTTTAGAAACTATTAAAGTTCCCCTTACCACAAGTACATTGGTTTCCCTTTTGTACTTTTTATGAGTTTGATTAAATTACCATTCATACAGTATAAATACCAGATATCTGTCTAGTTCAATACACACAACCGCAATCATGGGGAAGACTGCTGACTTGACAGTTGTTCAGAAGACGATCATCAACACCCTCCACAAGGGAGGTAAGCAACAGAAGGTCACTGCTGAAAGGGCTGGCTGTTCGCAGAACGCTGTATCGAAGCATATTGAAGTTGACTAGAAGGGAAAAGTTTGGCAGGAATAACCGCAGCCTTGAGAAGATTGTCAAGCAAAGCTTAAGAACTTGGGAGAGCTTCACAAGCAGTGGACTGAAGCTGGAGTCAGTGCACCAGAGACACCACGCACAGATGTCTTCGGGAAATGGGCTACAACTGTCGCATTCCTAGTACCAAGCCACTCCTGAGCCAGAGATAACATCAGAAGCATCTTACCTGGGCAAAGGAGAAATAGAACTGGACTGATACTCAGTGGTCCAAAGTCCTCTTTTCAGATGAAAGTAAATTTTTCATTCCATTTGAAAATCAAAGTCCCAGAGTTTGGAGGAAAAGTGGAGAGGCACAGAATCCAAGTTGCTTGAAGTACAGTGTGAAGTTTCCAGTCGGTGATGATTTGAGATGCCATGTCATCTGCTGGTGGTGGTTCACTGTGTTTTATCAAGTCCAAAGTCAGCCGTCTACCAGGAGATTTCAGAGTTTCATGCTTCCATCTGCTGACAAGCTTTTTGGAGATGCTGATTTCCTTTTCCAGCAGGATGTCACACCTGCCCATAGTGCCAAAACAACTACCAACTGGTTTGCTGACGATGATATTACTGTGCCTGATTGGCCAGCCAACACGCCTGACCTGTATTGTCAAAAGAAAGATGAGAAACAGACGAGCAGAAGGCCGCTATCAAAGCATGCTTGGCTTCAATAACGGCTCAGCAGTGCCACAGGCTGATCGCCTCCATGCCACACTGCATTGATGCAGTAATTCGTGCTAAAGGAGCCCTGACCAAGTATTGAGTCCATAAATGAACATTGTTCGGTAACGCTTTAGATTACAGCCCGGAAAGTACTGTGTAATTAAGAGGAATTTACAGAGTAACTTTCAGTAATTATAGTGTACCTATAAAGTACTTGCATGTAAGTATAAGGGAACAATATGTAAAGTTTGGGGAATAAAAGGGTAACAACCAGGAGAATTAAAAAAATATTTATACTGTAAGTATTATAGAACTAAGGGTAACTTATTCTACTATTATGATACAACAATCTTACATTTGGGAGCAATTTAGCGAGAACATACACATTGCTTACCTTTTTGTAATAATTGTATACCAATACATACTGTATAGGCTTTTTTTTAATTACAGGGTACATATCTATGCATTTATACTTTTATTTATTTATTTTATGATAGTAAAAGTGCAGATGTTTAAGTTGGGCTAACATGTTTCAAGGCAAGAAAAGCTAAGACTATTGCAATTTTTTTAAATACTGGGAAATATATCTTGTTTCATGTGGTTACAGGGTAAGCGGTGCTTCTATAATAAATAAAGGTTTCCGAGTCAGTGATATAAGATTGTGTGTATACATTTTTATTGTTACCCTGTAACTACATGGAACAAGGGGGTAAAAAGCACCACTTTAATTTACAGCCCGCAATGTCACACTTACCCTGTAACTACATCGAACAAGGGGGTAACAAGCTACATGAAACAAGAGTATCTTTCCACAATATTTAAGCAAAAGTTGCAATAGTTTTCGTTTTCAGTGCACTTTTGTTAAAAAGATTACATTTTAAAAATTACAGGGTACATCTATGCATTTATAAAGTATACAGTATGTACTGGTTCACCATTATTTCAAAAAGGTACGCAGTATATGTTCTTGCTAAATTGATCCCAAATGTAAGATTGTTATATCTTAATAGTAGAATAAGTTACCCTTAATACTTACAGTATAAATAATTTTTTTAATTCTCCTGGTTGTTACCCCTTTATTCCCCAAACTTAAAATATTGTTCTCTTATACTTATATTGTAAGTACAATATAGGTACACTATAATTACCGAAGGTTACGCTGTAAAATTGCTTTAATTACGCAGTACTTTCCGGGCTGTAATCTAAAGCGTTACCCATTGTTCTATTCAGAACTTGAACATCTCTGTATTGTAAATCCTTTTTTGATTGATCTTAGGAAATATTGTAATATTTGGAGATACTGGATTTTTAATATTATGAGCTGTAAGCCGTACTCGTGGAAATTAATACAAGGCCTGAAATATTTCACTTTACGTGTAATCTAGAATATTTGAAAATTTCACTTTTTGAATTAAATATACACTTTTCCATGATATTCCAAAAAATGAATGCACCTATAATATACTTACATCATGTAAGTTACATGCGACTGTGCGGGTTGAAATAAGGAGCATGATATAACGATTAAATGAAATATTTTTTAATAAAATAATTGTTTATACATTTCATTATAAATTTTGTTTTCTAGATAATAGATAAAAGGGTTTAATTTCCATTCCAAAAACAAGATGCTAATCAGAAAATCCCCACTACTTTAGACTTATTTTGTTTAGCATGTATAAAATACACAAAGAATTTGATTCCAGGCTGGATGCTTTCTCTTTTCATTCTTCTGACAAGTGGAATGCAACCTTATTGGCAATGGTTGAACAAAATGTCAACAGAGACATTGTAGCATGAAATCCTGCCCTCTGATTAACACAGCTCTTTAATTTGGTTTTAGGGATGACACTTCAGCTACAGTAGTACAGTACAGTAGTATTACTATGCTACATGGTTACATCTGACAACACAATTAGACAAAAGGAAAAGGAAATTAGACAACACAATTAAAACAGTCTTTTTTGTATGTAGTTATGCACCAACAAAGATGACATGGTGCAATTTATAATAGAGAGCATCCTCGTCTTATGTAATTACATTTTTGGCATGAAGGTATTCGCCCATTTTCTTCTTCAAGTCAGTGAAGTCAAAAGCTGTGTCCTCTGGCCACGCCTGCAAATATAGCGGTAGGTTTCTGTAACGCAAGTCAAAAAATGACTGAACAATCATCACACCAGTTACAGAAATTATAGATTGCAATGATGTGACTTTCATGTGTAAAAGTCATAGTCTGACATATAACTTGTCTAATAGCTTACATTGACTTGTAAGGTGTATCTGAAGTACTATGGGCTTCTCTCCAGTTAGCTGATGCTTCCTCTCTACGATCAAGCCTCCACAAGACCTCAGTTAGCCACATTTTAGTATTCTTACAACCTAGTGAAATTCAATTCCACATGTAAATTTGAGAAGGACAGGGCAATGTATCAGACTAAGCACAATTCACTATAATGACAACATATCAGCTGAAAACCTGGTGTCATCTGGAGACTGAGATGAAGATCTCTCAGGGCCTCCTTCAATTGACCTCTTTCCAAAAAGCAGCACCCTCGACCAGCTAGTGCTTGTCCTTTTGCTGCTTCCAAAGTCACCATTCTTTCAACCATTGCTTCAGTGTTTCCAAGATGTTTTTGTTTCCAGTCTAAAAGTTTGATGAAACCATGTAAGTATTGATACATAAAACAAGTTCACACATCAAATGTGGCTTCAGTAAGATAAAATGGGAAAACAGCTTCAACTCTTGAATGCAGATCTGTTATAAATAGATAATGGATGAGAACCCTAGGATAAAAATATTTATGTATAGTTAATTATATCTGTAAGTCTGCGTTTTTCAACCTGGATGATACTTCACAAACAAAGACAGACAAAGCTTAGTATGATTCCGCAATCTAGAAAGAAAGAGATCACTTACCTGTCTGTTTAATAAACACTTTCACCAGCTGATTAATCGCTCTGAAAGGAAAGAACAAGAGAGCATTTTGCATAAAACATGATTTGCCAACAAAGCTAGGTACTGAATGAAACTCTCATCACATCGTACCTTGTGAAGTTTGTAATAGCCTCTTTGGTGTCCTTCAGTTTCCAGTGGGCTTGTGCTTGAAGGAGATGGGCCGCACCAGCCCATAACACAAAGTCCACATTTTCAAGTACGACATCAGAATCAGATTTTTGTTTTTCAACAGCATCAAGTAGCAGCCTCTTGGGAATGAAGTCTGAAGTGCTAGTGATGACCTCCTCGCAGACCACAAGAGCATCACTATACCTTTGACCTTTCAACAAAGCAAATCCTGCTTCAAGGTAGACCACTGGGATTCTGGGAAAAGAAGTGCCATCCCCTGTGGATACCTGAAACACAGACAGGTGGTTGTCTCATATTTGATGAAGTTATTTTCCTCTTTATTACTGTAGCGTTGCTTTGAAACAATATGTATTGCATAAAGCACTATATAAATAAAGGTGACTTCACTTGAATCAGTCACATCGCTTTGTGTGCATTATTTCTGAATCTGATGCCTGAAAAAGTGCAGTCCTTACAAGATCTTTGCCATCTGACTGGAGTGACGCCAACAGATCAAGATAGTGCTCAACACCATCTGAAATACTGATTGACAAAAATTATATATATTTTGTTTAGAGGTTTAGTATTCTGTAAAAGTTTTTCGAAATCTGATTTTTCGAAATATTGATATTTGATAATCTAGTCAAGCATTGGTCCTTTTTGAGGGATCACTTGCCTGCCACTGAACACACATGTGTGAGCCAAAGTGTGCAGAATCAGAGAGGAGGAAGGGACTCTGCTAATGAAGGTCATCTGTTCACCACCAAGCAGTGTAGCTGGAGAGACCAGTGAAGCACTAGATGAACTTTTATCAGCCTGCAGCTGGACTGCCTGTAAACAAAGCAAGAGAAAAGTATTATTTAACAAACACATTTGAAAATGAGTGACACTACATTACATGCAGGAAATACATTCATTGGATTATTACGAAACAATCTGAAACATCCTTTACTGTTTGAAGCGAAAGCAGCGAATGTCAGCTGAACCTTGTTGCTACTTAAATGTATTTGTTTTAGGTGTACTTTGTTGACGCCGGAAGACAGTCATGAGATATGGACCTTTGGTACTTATTTGTTTATTTATTGTTTTTAATACAGTATTGAGTTGTTATATGGTCAGTGTACAGCAATTAATCATTTGTTATCACTGATATCACAAGCTGGTAATGATTTTGTGTAAATGCACCTCTCATACATGTTGTAAAGCACAAGGTACATTGTATAAAAAAATAAAAAAATATTGTACATAATATATTTAATAATAATAATAAGCCAAAAAGTTGTGTGCAGAATGACTTACTGAGTAAAGAAGATGCAGGGCCTCAATTTCTGCCTTTGAATTGCCAAGCTGCCTGAACACCAGAGCACTTTGATAAAGTGCACTATGGCAAGCACAATCCACCTCCACAGCCTTCCGATAAAAGTGGAGAGCACAATGGGGCTGACCCTGCACGGACATAAGAAACAGAGCCTCAAGAGCCACCACAAATGAATCAGTTAAACAAACTCAATTAATCAAATATAAACAGGAACTGATGGTTCAAGATTTGGTCTATTTAGGTCTATTAAGTTCAGGCCAGAGTTCACTGGACGGAGGATTGTAGAACAGAGCTTCTTACCAGCTTAGCAAAACTCTGGCCTGTAAGAGTGTGGATCTGTGCCAAGAGACTTCTGGGACTTGGGAGGCCTTTAGCCTCCTGAAAAGCCTCAAGGGCCTCGGAATATTTCTCCATCTTCATCTGTTCCACCCCTAAACCAAAAAACACATTTTAGGACTAATGGCAGTTCTACTATTTATTATTTTAAATTGCAAAGAAATGTAAAATTACATCTATATTGTGTCTTACCTAAATACAATATTTTATCATAAAACAACACTTACAAGTACTTTATATTTCTTCTGACATTAATATAATGACCTACATAATGTATAAATAATAAGTTAGTTCAGCCGTTTCATACCTTGACATATCACAGTGCAGATGTGCAAAAGATCCTTGAGGTCCTTTGCTCCCATGGCAACCATTAGTGAGGAGTCTTCTTCCATGCTCAAAGCAAGGTTTCGTGTTTCTGTCAGTAGATTCACAGGTGCTGAATGCTCTCTCTGAGAGGAGATGAGTAAGACAGCAGTATAGCAGTCAAATATACATTCTTAATGAATAGTTTTCATCTTATTATTCTTCTTGCATGTTTTTTTTTAGTGATTATCTCTATGTATTAGTATTGCAAAACTGTGGTTCTCAACCAGAGGGTCGGACGCTTCACCAAACTTCCAAGGGGAGTCTTAACATTATATTTATAAAGATTATAAAAACAATACCTTGTGGTTAGTCTGTGTTAGAAGAGTAAGAATTCTCTCCAACTGACAGTGCATGAGCCACAGCATCCACTGAATCAGCAGAAGCTTGTAGACATACGGCACAATGACTGAGGTGCCAAAAGTCTGAAGAACAGCCTCCCACAACTTCACTGGATCAGAACTGGACACCTGAGATCCTGCAGCCTCTAAAGCTACAGAAAAACAGAAAGATGGAGGGAACATAAAACATACAGCATATAAATCATTAATAATGCAAAAAAATAAATAAAAAATGCTTCAATTACCTCTTAATAATGTGTGGATGAGACTCTCCTCAACCTCACTGGGGTTGGAGAAACCCAACGAGAATAAAAACGTATTATATGAAACTGTCATTTCAAGTTTGAGTCGTTCAGTAGCTGCTGGTATTCCTGTGTAAACACAATATGGTTATGAACTTCTGTCAATATAACCATGCTGTGTAAGCGATCAAAAGTAACACATGACAGTACCTTGAATTTTCTGAAGCAGTTTAAGGCTTTCTGAACAGCATCGCTTCCGAACATCTTGACTTGGCTCAAGGTTTACTTCGTTTTGCTGCAACGGTAAACGGTACGTGTATTTATGCGTAAGGTAACGTTAATTTTACTGTAAACGATAAACAAGTTATTTTGCTAACGTTACAGTAACGTTAACTACCTTCCAAGTCAATATTATGTTGTTATTCTCCTCACTCCAACTATCAACTAAACAGGGAATTGTAGACATGTCAAAGACTCGAAATATAGGCAGCCGCAGTCAACAGATACCTAACGTTTCATGTGTACTTTATTAAATCCAAGCTCATCCATATTTCGGATTCGGAATCAGTCCCCTTCCTCATCTGATTCGAACTTTCCCTCCTCCTCTAAAACCCAAATGATTAGTGATACAGCGCCACCTGCTGTTTGGGATGCACTAGTCTAAAACTGTAAAAGAAATCGCACACTGTTAAGAACGTTCTAGTGATCATTTCTGTTAATTCAAATATAATTTTAATTTCGAATGTCACAATTGTAGTATTGTTGTTAAAATAAGATTGTTTGTTTAAATGCTTGACTGCTTATTTGTCAGCAAGCTATCACCTCTGTGGTCATTATACAGTGTATTTTATTAGGTAGAGAAAATTGTGTTGAATCTTAATGCCTTCACTGGTCTGTCCAGTAATATCTGCGGAACAAACGAGCATTTCCCAATTTTGGGCGTTTTCAAACGGGTATAGACCACGGATCTGAGCAGCGCCAAGACAGGTATGAAAGCGAGGCTGTGAGAGACTACCGTGTTTTAAAGGTTTTAAATGGCTGAAGTGCCCGAGCCTCTGGTTGAGAACCACAGTTTTATACCTCATTTGCAATCAGCGGAATCACAAACTCAATATTTTTGCATCTGTGATTTTTTTCTATCTGTGGACTTGTATCTGTGAATAGGCATATCCCAAGAGATAATAAACCCAAAACTTATAGGGGAATAATAATAAAAATAAAAATAAACACTTTCTTGCCCCCATAAAAAAAAAAAAAACTCAAGACAAGCGTCAAGCCTGAAATGTTCTGTATGCACACTATAGGTATCCCCAATACCTTCTCAGAAATTGACTCCAAAAGTGGAAGAATTTGAAAATGTTTATATATGTATGTTCATGTACATTGAAATGTACTCTAGACTAGAGCAGTGTTTCCCAACCTTTTTTTTTTTTTTTTGCCAGGCAGTTTTGATAAGTAAAAAATCTCATGACACGCGCCATTTATAAAAATATAAAATAATTGTTTAAACATGCAATGCTTCAAATTGCATATTATATTAATAGTACTCAAATACATATTTAAAATACATTAACATGTTTTCATGCATGTGTGCAATTTTGGAAATATTTAACATATAACACAAGAAATTCAAGTCTACCCCGAATAGAAGTGCTTCTATAAACTAGGAAAGTGTAGCCTACTGCTGCCTTCACCACAGGAGTTTATAATTAATATTATTATGCTACCATACATTTCGGCAAACTTTTAAAACGATAAGCTTTACTGACGCTCAAGGTAAAACAGAAACATAACAAAAAAGAAGCTACGCTATATTGGCTCGTTTAGCGTATCCTAACTACACCTCTAGCAAACCTTTATGTTAACCGAGCGTGCGTTAATATTTTCAGTCGCTTTAACTGTGACACAATACAGGAAACTTGTATGAACACCATGTAAGCGCCGCTCAGTCACCGAATGGCTGACTCCCTGATCAGTGCCCTGACTACTGAACTAGGGAGCTGATTGAGACGCACCCTCAGACACCCGAATATTTCACAACACCGGTGTGGCGCAGTTTCTTTTTCCCCTCTTTTTTACGTTTATACCCAAAAATGTACATGTAACGTTTCCAAAAATACAAATATTTCACATATAATGCTCTAAAGAATTACATATTATCATAAAATATTAATAACATTTTAGCATCCGTGTTGTATATGATGATGAACGTTGACGATAACGTGTGTCGCAGTTTCTCCAGAGCGGCTGAGCGAGCTGAGATGACGACACAGCTGTTCTACGATTGGCCGGATTCACCAATGACAACGATCACGTGTGTTTTGTGTTCATTCTGACACCTTCAGTTCCACTAATTCTCACAAAGCTGTGTTTTTTATTACAGTTAATGCTCTTTTCATGTAGTCGCAATGTTATATTGTGTCATTCTTATCAAAATAAAAAACCATAGACCCCACTTAAATGGCATTTAAATAGTATAGGCTTATGTTGAACTTTAATATTGTAAAAACAGACGCTACTAAGCAGTAACGTTAGCCTACATAAAGTATTTGACGAAAACGTCTCTGAAACGTCTGTGTATTTGACAAATATTGCATTTAATTCAGCTGACACTGCACGAGCGTCACTACGGGAAGCAAAAAGTGCCCGACTCCGTTTTCAGCTCCTCCCCGAGTCCGACTGCAAGCGGCAACTCTCGCCGATCGGTTACATCCCTCCGCAACTGAAGTCGAGCACACCTTATGTGTCGCAGCATAAACTAAGATTCTACGTCACATTATCTCTCTTTCCCCCAGGTCCTCAAGCGGAGAGGAGCAGCGATCGCAGCGAGAGGCCGTCCTAGATTTGGGAGCCATTCGCAAAAATGGTATGATATTTCACCCCGTCACTCACCAGGGCATCATAAAATATGACTAGCTCTATATTAAAACATTTGTGTACATTTAGGACGCATTTATTCAGTCATTTAGGCTATGCAATCTTTTTTTATTCTGATGTCAATGACGTAATGACAACCTGCTAAGAAGATTCTCGCGTTTATAGCAACCTTGAACATGAGTTATAAGCGGAACATTTAATTTATGTCTTTATTTTAAAATAGTCAGGAAAGAGAATGACGCATTGAAATATATTACATCTTTGTACTCGACGGGAGATCATAAAGTTCGTCATGTAACTACGCATACTACGCATAACTGTAAAGAACAACCGCATGCGGTTTGTTGGATCTTTGTTTTTAAGTGAAAGTAAGCCTCGTACTTTGGGATATGGCCCAACACAGTGCACGCGCGCGCACTGGAATAACGTTACCGCGATATAAATAGCGCGTTCACGCCCCCACTGTTCTTTTCAATGCGCGTATTAAAGTTTCATGCGCAGAGACCGAGCAAGCCGTGTCTGTGGAGGGCTGCTGAGTGGAAATCGTGTTATTATAGTGACGGGGCCGCTATGTTGTTGTTTTTGAGGGGCGAAACAACCCAACATTCTTATCTAAACAGCTTGCTATGTTTCCATCCACCCATTTTTAATGCGCATTTTGGGATATCCTATCGCATCAAAAACTGCTGGATGGAGGCGCCAAGATACGCATAAATTCTAAAAATGTGCATAAAAAACGTATGTGTTTTATCCGTTAAGAAGACATGCGCATAAACTACAATGGAAAACACATTTACCGAATAAATTCCTTGATGCGCATCAAAAAAGACTTGTGACTTTGCGCGATGGTAAGTTACGACATAACTGGACTACCAGCGGAACGGTCATTTTGCTCAGCATCTGAAATGGTGTTTTGGTTGTTGTGGAATGCCTGAGCAAACCTGTCGTTAAAGTGGTTCGTTATAGGCCTTACCTTCCAGAAGAACTCTCTTACATGACTGCGTTCGTCCCAAACACCAACATCCACCCCCGAAAGCAAGATGGATAACACGTTTATTGCTTTTGGTCTGCGCGCTCTGAGACGCAAGTAACTTACAGTGGCTTCTCCCACTTTTATTTAGAGCCAGACAGTTTATCAGGAAGTAACCATTTTGTTCTCTTCGACTCACTGGTTGGAAACGGTGCTGTATTCGCAAATGTTTATACGATATTTCAATTTTGCGCATAAGTTAAATTCCCAACTTTGGCTGGAAAAGTGTATCGCTGGGCAGCGCTTGTGCTTCGGAGACAGCAGCAGCACAACAGCGGCCACCCAGAAACTGCGCACTCATGGTGCATGCTGTGCTTCACTGCACTCTTGTGAATTATGATACATTTAAAAAGCGTTATTGAAATCAATAATTACTGTTATTGTGTAATTAATTAGGGTTGAAAGCATAATACATAGTAAATGCTAGTAAATATGAGACATTTCAAGTCACTTTACTTACCATATACAGGTAAAAATAAGTCTATTTTAGAACGGGCAATAAAAGTATGAATTGCCTCAATTTATGGCGACAGTGATATTCTCAAAATCAAATATCATCACATCACCATCACATTTGAATTTTGTTTAATTGTAATATTGTTTTAAATGTTAATTATTTTTCATATTTTAATTCATTGTATTTTACATGGCATTGTTATGAATGTTAGCAGCATTATTTTAGTCACGTGTCAATTTTGCCGTTAAAATGATTTTTTGAGAATATTCAAACGTTTTTAAATTATCTCAACAGCTTTAAAACTATTGATATTTAAAAAGGTGAAAGGAAAGTAGTAGTATTTTTATTTTTTCTTATTAAGACACCATTTTAAATAGTTTTCGTAGTCTGTTCATTTGTTCGGACGGTTGCTCCACCTGACATTTTTGGGGGTTAAAGATAAAACAAAGTAATATGTCTTATTAAAATGTACTACAAATGAATTCAAACTAAATAGGTTTTATAGAATAAAGTGGCATATGTCATGAATTTATCAACTTATTTTGAAAGGAGATAATGCACTTGGACACAAAAATTTGCACGTCATGTTACTGACCCATAATTCAATGGCATATGCAGTTCCAAATATGCAACTTTGGAATTTATTTTTTACTGTAAATTTGAATTAAAAAACAAACATTTATTTAGCCTTTATTGATAAATTAAATGCATGAGCTTAGTTACACTGTCACAGTTCCTTTTTGTAGATTCCCATCCTCTAATGAGCCAGAGGCATTCATTTGTTTTGACATCACATATTGTCCCTCACCCACAAACACTTATATTTACTCCACAATCAACACTTGAAAAACTTGTCTCTGTTCCTCAGGTGAACTTTACAGTAGACCAGATTCGGGGGATTATGGACAAAAAGTCCAACATCAGGAACATGTCTGTGATCGCCCATGTGGACCATGGCAAATCTACTCTCACCGATTCCTTGGTGTGCAAAGCTGGTATTATTGCTAATGCACGCGCAGGAGAGACCAGATTTACTGACACCAGAAAAGATGAACAAGAGAGATGTATCACCATAAAGTCAACGTAGGTATTCCTATTTAAAAAGTCACTATTTTATTATTAATCATATTGATGTCACAAGAGCTATTCGACAGAAAGTATTTGTCAGTAGGATGCATTTTAATATTATAT